GTCCCTTCCCAGCCTCGCCGGTCTGGACGAGCCCCGGGCCGGGAGAGAGCCGGCCGCCGCCATGATGGGGCTGGCCGAGCCGGGGGGCGTGACGCGGGCGGCCCCGGGCGGCCCCGGGCGGCGGGCCAGCTCCCCTCCCCCCTCCCCTGCGTGGGCCCCGGCCGCAGCTGACCCCCAGTACTCACGCTTTGTCCACCAGCTCCCGCACCTTCCACATGTTCAACATCGTGCCCCGCGCGGGCCGAGCCGCCGCCTCCCTCCCCTGATCCCCACGGACCCCGGGACACTTCCGCGCCGGGGCAGGTCCAGGCCGGGGTCGCCGCCGCCGCCCTCCGCCTCCAACTCCCCCAGTTAGGTCCTCCTCTAGCCACAGCCGCGGCGCCGCCGGTGACACGTCGAGACGCGGGGGCAGAGGCGCTGCGTGGAGCGGAAGTGCCCGGCTTTCCGCCCGCTGCGCGCGGGGCGCGCCGGGACTTGTAGTTCTCTGCGCGCCTAGCCGACCGCTTAAGCAGAGAGGGTAGGTGTGGTAAGTTTGGTGCTATTTGCGTCAGGCTTTCCCAGTCCTTTGCACCCTTCCCGGTGCCTCTGACCTTCGGAGCCAGAAGCTCGGGGGGGAGGAGGGGGAGACGGAGCAGCAGTCTATGCTTTAACGGATCCTCAAGTGTCAGAAGCAGCACTGGTATAGGATCTAGCCGCACCCAAACTTTGAAATGTAGAGCATTGCTTCTCCCCAGAAACAGTCCACGGCGCGCTATGATTTTGTACCTTCAAATTGAAGAGACTTCCGTGTAAAACAAGTCTTGTTAAAATATTACCTGAGAAAATACAGAACAAATCATATGCAAACAGTCCAGAAAAAGAGAGAGAGAGAGAGAGAGAGAAATATAAAAGTATTGCAATGTTATTAATAATGACTATACAGAAACGTTATTGCTATATGTATGCCTTCCTCATTGACAGAAGCATCACTGTATTTGGCTCCAAATATACTTTCTACTTAGAACCTGAATTTTCATACCTGTAAGTTGAAGAGGTTGTATTCTAAAACTTATTCCATGCTACTATCCCACTATGATGCAGTGGTCTTATATTTAGACGGCTACTTAATATCCTCTTTAGATACTTTATCATAAAGCTCAGACATTTAGTTCACACTCTATCTGGAACTAGAAAGGCAACATTAGGACACATCCGACAACTTGACAACCATTTATTCTTAAGCCTAAGTATACACATACATACCGCATTGGGTGTTTTATTGTAATGGCTGCTGTCACTTCATTTCTCATTCATTCATTTTTTTTTAAACAATGCTCATGTTAAAGTTGCAAGAAACCTTAAAATTCATTTGATCCAACTGCCTAAACTTTACAGTGCTTTTCATTCTATAAATACTTACTGAGAATTTTCTGTGTGCTAGTAGTTGGGAACAAGACCTACAAGCCCTCAGCTCTCTAGGATCTTAAGGGTCTTTGGAGCAAATATAAAAATCAAGGAAACATTTAAGGTAATTGCAGATAGATAGTGGTTGAAGAAAACAGAAGATAATATTATAGGGAATGATGTTAGAGGAAAATAACAGGGAGTATTTAGGGCCTCTTTGAGGACACTATATTTAAGCTAAAACTTGAATGATGAAAAGGAGCTTGCCATAAAAAAAGATCTGCAAGAAAAGAATATCTGGTGGAGGGAACAGATGAAGACTCTGATTCACAAGGGAGAAGGGAGATTAATTGCTGCCAGTTATGATGCATGTTAACAATGATCCTAAATCAAGAACCCAGAACTTCTGACCCCTAGTTCCTCAGGTCAAGTCACCCCTTCACACTGCATCCACTTAGTTACTGGAAGCATCTTTGAAAAGGGTTTCAATACAGCTTTAGGATTAAGGCCTTAAAAAAAAAAAAAGAGGATTAAGGCCTAAGAGAGACAAGTTGAAAGAATTGCCAGACAGAAAAGTATCAAAAGCAGAAATTGGGACAAATCTATCTCAAATCTTTGTCAAGATAGGAGTGCTTGGGCAGACATAAAGTGAATTGGATTGGTGGGGGAGGAGAGGCAGAGAAAGATGAGCAGAGATAGGTGGAGAAATGGGGCTTTCAAATGAGGAGTTTGTTTCCTGTAGAAAGGACTGTCCAGCCCGAGTGAGATTCAAAGGATGGAATGTGGCCAGAGGAGATAAGGAAGAGAACTACCTTGCAAAAACAAAAGCTCAGCAAGTTAACTTTCAAACAGGCAGGTCCAGGGTACACCAACAGAATGGGCCTGGCATAAAAATAAGCATCTTCCCTGCCCCGGGCCTGTTTGCACATTCATAGCAATTCACAATCAGCCTCACTAGAATCACCTTGAGAGTAAAATGTCACTGTCTACCTTGTTTCAACACCAGGTTTGGAAGTGCCTAGACTTATTCCCCGAGTTGTCATGCTGGCTAGAATGTAACACCGAAAAACTAGCCTAACTTTGATTCAAGAGAGTCCCTAATGGACTCAGGAGAACCAGACAAGGAGAGTTTGTTAAAAAGTGGTCTCCAAAGACTAACCATTTGCATGTCAACAAAGTGTTCCATTTTTGCCTTATATCTTGCAAGTTTGGGAGCAGTTTCCATAGTAACTTCTTTGTGGCAATTTAAATGTGTCCATTGTAGAAAAATAAATGAGAAAATGTCCCACTCACCCCCCTCTTCAGGAAAACATATTTTTTCACAAAATGAGCTGACGCTTTTAGTACAGCCAAGCCAACACAAGGTTTGAAAGCAAATGTCCTCAGATGTGTGAGGCACTGTGGTAGGTGCTGACTGCGTATCTTCTGTGGTTGGCTCCCTGGTGTTTCCTTCCGAGAACTTAATTCCTGTTACACAGGTGTGGCAGCTATGGGACGGCACAGACCAAATCTCTCTTTAAGAGAACCAGTTACAAGGAATGTGGATGGCTGACAGCTTCCAGCAGCCACTCCTCAGGCATCAACCTGACACCAAGGCCATGCTTTTACTGGGCTGTTCCCAGGCACCGTGTGAGCACGTTGGGGTCAGGCCATTTCTCCTCAGTGCAAGACTTCTGTACTGGGCAAGCTTGCCCTGGGCTCCCCATCAGCCTCGCCCAGAATTCCTTGAAGTTTCCTTGCCATCAGGCGGTCTTCTTACCCAATGTTCCTCCCTTCTCTCTTCCTTAACAGGTGTCAGAACTTCCTTGAGGTCTGAGGCTGTCCCCACCTAGTCTTGCTCCCTCTTCCCTTTATTCTTCATAGGTGTTTTCCCCAGTTAATCTCTTACACTTCTAATTCCCCCTTGGCTTTTGCTTCCTGCAATAACCAAATTGACAGGACAGGCAAACAGTTCTACCCTGGTTTCAGTATTTGGCTCAGTGAGTCCTGTTTTTGGTCACACCTGACTATTCCTCTCTAGTAGTTGAGATACTTGGTTTCTAATCATATGAAAGTTGCCACAAGAGCCATGCAGATTACACATTGCATAACCCCAGGGGCACCATAGCTGAGGACTACCATGTACTGCCAGAAAGGAAGTATAAAGTAATGGTTAGAGAGTAGATTCTGAATTTAGACAAACCTAAGCTCAAACTGCATCTGCTGTTCAGTGGCTTGGTCATTTTGGATAAACTAATTAAACCCATATACCACAGTGATTACGAACTAGACTTTGGGGCCAGATTGCCTGGGTTTGAATCTTAATATTGCTACTCACTACCTGTGTGACCTTGGGGAAATTATTTGACACCTCTGTGGTTCAGTTTCTCATCATAATGGACAATAATAGAAACCTGCAAAGGCTTTTTCAGACAATTTTAAAAAGATAATGTTTAAAAAGAATCTAGAACAATACTGTATACACTCAATAAACATTAGCAATTCTGCTATTACCACTATTATTACTACTAGTCATACTAGTAATTGTATTACTCTGTAAAAGTATTCAGTTGTCAACAAGTATTTAGTAAGATCCTGCTATGTTCCAGGGACTGTGCTAGGTGGTGGATATACAATTGTAGATAAAACCACAGAGTATACCACAAATAGATGTAGTAGACATAGTAAACTGAAAGTAAAATGAGGAACAAATAAAATAACATATATACCTCAGTTCACACTGGGTCGGTCCTACATGTAGGAAGTGCTCACTAAATTCTATTTCATTATTGTTATCAAAACACTTATCTTATGTGGATCTCAGCTTTTTTTTCTTATTAACTGAAGTATTGTTTTACCAGAATATCCTAAACCTAGCCATACATCAGAAATTCCCTGACATCTTTAAAAATGTCAAGGTTTTTTGGTCCTGCCCCATGAGTTTCTGATTCACTGGTATATTATTTTCTATACTTTTGGTCACAAGTGACAGAAACTCAAAACTAGCTTATGCAGGACACAGGAGACTAGGGAGTTCAGAGATAAAATTTGCCTTAGGATCTTAGCAAATACTGTCAGAACTCTTTCTGATGCTCATTATCCTTTATTGCAGATAAATTTCCCCTAGTTGGCAGGAATAGAGGTACCACTTTGCAGAGAATGGGTTCCATTTTTTCAATTAGACAACCAAGGGTGAAGAGACACTTTGGTCTTTCATCCACTAAGTCTAATAACACAGGGAAGGACTCTGATTGGCCCAGATTGAATCATGTATCTATCATGGGACCAATCACCTCTAGACAAGTGTATATTACAGAGTTGGTAGACCTAGGAGAACCGGTGGGAAAAGAGTGGGGGGAAAAGAGTGCTCTGGAGATACTCTGAAGAAAACCATGCCTTGGCAGACAAAAGTGCCAGTTATTTACAATGGTAGGTCAAAGAAATCTGTATTTTTAAAAAAATCTCTTAAGTGATTTTGCCAGGGTTTAGGATGCCCTGAGTTAGATGACACCATGCCCTTTCTGGGTCTGACACCCTTTTTTCTCTTTAAGGTCTAAATTACACAAAATTGAGTTGGGGACAGCAAAAGAGAAAAAAATACCATGAGTGATAATAAGAAAAAGAAACAATGAAGAAAGAAGGGATTAAGCAGATTGCAGCATTATGCAGCAGGTAAGCTGGTAGCAGGACACACTCTTGCTAACTCTGTTCTGCTGATGGTTGGGCTCTCTTGGCTGAGATTCTGTTTCCTTTCAGGTCTGTCAGCAGGGCTCAGGTGGACCTACTCAGAAAGCCTGGTAGGTGCTCCAAAGGGCTAACACATTCACAGTCCTTCTTCAAGAACGTGCAGACACTGGCCAAAGGTGAGATGGAGGTAGAAGTGCTCTTGGAATCATTTCCCTGCCTCCTGGGATGCTCTGTCTCCCTCTGTCTCTTGACTATAGGTGAGTCCAGAGTAGATATGCTGCTCCTAGTGTCTAGGTCTCTGAAAACTCTATTCACAGGAAGTCAAAGTACAGTCATTAAAGCAACGAGGCAGCTTGTGACTGTGGGAACTGTTCCTGCATTGTCAAATCACATGTAGGGGTGAATGGTGTGGATATGAGAAAGGATGTGCTGGTGGGTTTCTGAGGCAGGGTCTTTCTGGATAAGGACAAGTATCTTGGGAAAGCCCACAGGTGTCCAGAGTTCACACAGAGGCTCTGCTAGTCCTTGAATTTCATCAGTTCTTCAAAAGAATTGTACTCTAGAGGAAGAGCTCACTGAAATAGACATCAAAGGAGTCTGATGGACAGACCACTGTTTGTTTGTTTTTTTCAAGATTTTATTTATTTATTTGAGAGAGGGAGAGAGAGATGTGTGCAAGCAGAGAGAAGAGAAGGGGCAGAAAGGGAGAAAGAGAGACAAGCAAACTATACTCTGAGCGTGGAGCCCTATGTGGGGCTCAACCCCAGGGCCCTGAGACCATGACCTGAGCTGAAACAGTTGGACATTCAACCAACTGAGCCACCCAGGCACCCTGACTGCTGCTTTTTATAAGCAAATGAAAGGGCTAAAGACTAGGGCGGGGGGGGGGGGGGGAGCGTCCATTAGAATAAAGCATGTTTTCTTGTTAACAAAGAGTCAACACTCAATGTTTGTTGGGCACCAGCAATGTGCAGTGGGGTTAAACAGATGTCTAAAACCTGTGTTACCTATAGACCTTCTAGTCTAATATGGAAGATAGACATACAAACAAAAACCTCAGCAAGATGTTTAAGGAGGCAGTGTAATGTGGGGTAAAGGTCAGAGCACTGGCTGTGGTATCAGTAGGACCTTGGTTCACATCGTGTAGCTCTGGAATGTTGGCTAAATTAGTTGGCCTCTCAGGTCTTGGCTCCCTCATTGGGAAAATGGGGCTAATAAGGGCCCCTGACTCATGGTGTTGTGAGGAATGAATGAGACAACCCACTAAATTGCTTGACATGTAACAAGGACTCATTAAATAAGATTTATTATCATTGTTTTTTTTATTTTATTTATTTATTCATGAGCAACACAGAGAGAGAAGCAGAGACATAGTCAGAGGGAGAAGCAGGCTCCCTGCAAGGAGCCCGATGCAGAACTCGATCCTGGACCTCAGGATCACACCCTGAGTCAAAGGCAGATGCTCATCCGCTGAGCCACCCAGGCACCCCGATCTATTACCATCATTAAACTGTATGCACAGATCATGGATGATGTGAGGATGTTTAAGCAGGTTCATTAAATCTTTCAATAAACTTATATTTGGACACTTAACTCATTGCCAAGAATTATACTTTGAAAAACAGACAAAATTCCTATTCTTGTGAATTTTGCAGTGAGGGAGGAGAGAGGTGTATAGCAAATAAACCTTCCCCCAAATCTATCACTTCAAACTATGATGAAAGCTACAAGAAGAAAAGAATGGGGTGGTATGAGAGAATGTGGAAGTGGTATTTCATTCATATTTCATTCCCAGGAAAGTCCTCTCTGGGAAAGTGACATTTAAGGTGAAGGTGGAAAGATAATTCTGAGTTAATGAGGTAAGAGAGAGAAAGAATATTCTAGATAGAAACTCCTGCTCTCTTAGCATTCAAGACTCCACAGTCTTCTTGCCTTTCCTGTCTTTCCTACATTTCAGGCTCATTACCTTTTGTTCCTCTCCCCAGTTTGTAGATATTGACGGGCTCTTTAGAACTTACTTTGTTCCTTCTCCACTGCCAATGCTAACCATAACCATCTCTCACGTGAACTAAAGGTTTCTTAATTTGTTCCTCCTTGATCAAATCATAAGTTGGGCCATGTTACTATTTGCACTGAATACTTCAACAGCTTTTCATGGCATTTAGAATCCAAACTTAACCTATCAGAAGTCCATCCATGGTCCAAACCACTGTTATTCTGGAGAAAGACTGATACGGTTACCCTCATGTGGGGTAAACTCAAGGCCAGTTCTGAGAAAAAAGGGTGTTGGGGTGGGAACCATGGGCCCAGAAAGTACCCCTAAAATCTGTCATTGACAGCATGGCAGTCCCTTTTTTTTTAACATTTAAAAATATATGTATATTCCAGCCAGTGCTTCCCAAGGATAGGTCTTTGTGGTATTGAGTGGATTATTATAGCATCTTGGGCTTTCAGTTTAGATCTGGAAATTACTATGGTTTGTTTCACAGTTTCACCTTCCTTGTTGTGAGGTTATTTCTACTACTCTCATTTTTTTTAGATTTATTTATTTATTCACGAGAGACACACATAGAGAGAGGCAGAGACATAGGCAGAGGGAGGAAGCAGGCTCCTCATAGGGAGCCCGATGGCGGGACTCAATCTTGTATCCCAGGATCACACCCTGAGCTGAAGGCAGATGCTCAACTGCTGAGCCACCCAGGCGTCCCCTCTACTCTCATTCTTGATGTGTTAATTTGACTAGTTTCAGAACATCCTCTTTTCTTTTTCTTTTTTTTAATGCTAACTATCTATTCTGCTGACACCTTGTTATATAAGTATCATGAGTGATCTCTAACTGTGGAAGCTGATTTCCTAGGTGTTAGCAGTTTTTATGGTTTCTGATGAGTAGTATCTAATCATAGTTCTTGTTGAGCAGGTATAACTTTAAAATTTCCCCATCTTTGATAATTTACCCTAAAGAGTGGTGGGTCATTGACCTGGCCTGGGAAGCCTAAGATCTGATATACCCAGACACCTATTGGGAAGGGAGGGAATAGGAAAAAGATAGCAAGTATTATTATCTTTTTAAGATACAGACTCATTCTCTTTCTTCCAATTTTTTTCCTTGAAATGTTTTATTAGTTTTTTTTAAATAACAGAAGTAAAAGATGTTCATATATCCTCATGTATATATCCCTTGACCTAGCAATTCAACTCCTAGGTAATTATCCAAGAGCAATGGAAATTATATCAAAATTCTCATGTAGGAATGTTCATAGCAGCTTTATTCAGAATAGCCAAAATCTAGAAATAATGCAAGTGCACAACTGATAGAATATGGACAAACAAGTTGTGTTGTATCATTTGAATGGAACATGATTTAGCAATAGAAAGGAATAAAATATGAATATATAGAACAACCTGGATGAATCTCACAGACATGATAGCAAATGAAAGAGGCCAGACACAAAAAGTTATGACTCCATTTATATAAAATTCTAGAATAGGCAAAATTAATCAAAGGTGAAATAAATGAGAAACTATTGTTGCCTGAGGTGGAAGGAAGGGTGGGAACAAGGGAATTAAAAATAAAAGTTATAAACACCTTTTTCAACAAGTGAAACAATCCAAAAATGCATAAGGAAAAGTTTTATCCTTTCCCATTTATTTTCACCCCAGTATGGCAATCCTGTTAAAAACTTGATAGGTACTTTTTCACACTTTCTCCATGTTTATAAATATAAATAAAAATTTGTGTGTACATATGCAGGCTTTGCTTTAGGATCGTGCTATACACAGTGCTTGCTTTTTAAAATACCTGTTTGAGGGGTGCCTTGGTGGCTCCGTAGGTGGGGCATACACTCCTGATTTGGCTCAGGTCATGATCTCAGGGTCATGGGATTGAGCCCCGCATCGGGCTCTGCACTTGATGGAGAGTCTGCTTGAGATTCTCTCTCTCTGCCCCTCTCCTGGCTTTCTCCCTCTCTCAACTAAGTAAATCTTTAAAAAATAAAATATAATATAATACCTATTTGATAATGCATCATGGATATCCCTCCAGCTGAATAAATATAGATATGACTCATTCTTTTAAATACTGGTGTAATTCCTCAATATGAATAGACTGTAATTTATCGAACCATTTGCCTAGCGATGGCTAGTTAGGTTGTTTCTATTTTTGGTTTTTGCCACTATAAACAATGTTACAATAAAATATATCTCTGTACATCTATCTTTGCATATGGTGTTTAGATCTCAAAAGTAGGAACAGGGAAGGATAAGTGTTTTTTATTTAATTGGATATTGGCAGATTATATACCAAAGAGATTACAGCAGTTCTCACCCTCACTAAGCAACATATTGAAAAGCCCATTTTGTCATGTCTTCACTAGCACTAGATGCTATTGCTCTTTTGAATTTTTGCCAATTGTATTGATAAAAATATGTTGCCTTAATTTCAAAGTAGTTCTAACCAAGGTAAACCTATGCTTTCCTACCTTGTATAAAAGTCTCTTTTCACATCGCTCCCATTTTTCAGTCCTGTTCTTGGTCAGTATGGATCACATCCCTCCAAATGGTACTATCAAATACATTGGATGATAGAAGGCAGGCCTGGCCAAAAGGGAGCTATTCCCATTGTTTGTTTGTTTTTCGACTTAAAATATTCAGCCTAATGGGAAGAATTCCTTATTCTGTCATTCTTTCTCAGAGCAGCCTGCTTATTTTCATCCTGGTACCAACCAGAATCTGTGATTGTCTATTTATTCACTCGTATTAGGCAGGGTCACAGAACTTAGAACAGAAAACAACTCAACGCAAAAGTGTCTATTTGAAGAGAATGAAGCAAACAAACTATTTATGGATGCAAGGTCAGGGTTAAGGCTATTAATAAGGACATCAAAGCACTTAGAAGTAGCACTGGTGAGGAGTCATTACTATCAGTTTCAATTATTTATTGCTGTGTAACAAACCACCCCACAACTTAGTGTCTTAAAAGAACAACCACCATTTACTTGCTCACAATTCTTCAATTTGAGCAGGGCTTGGTGGAAATGGCATATGCCCACTCTGCACTTGGTGGGGTTCTCTGGAGCAACTCAGCTGGTGCTGGATGAGGATCCAGGGTGGGTTCATTTATAGACCTGGTGCCTCTTCTGGAGTGGCTGGAATGGCAAGAGGAGAGTTGGGTTTGTCTTTCTTTCCATGTGGCCTCTCATTTAATAAGTTAGGGTGAACTGTTAATAGGTGGCTAGATCCCAAAAAAAGTCAAAGTGGAAACTTCCAGGCCTTTTAAAAAGTTGTCACAGAACTGACCAAGCATCCCATTTACCACATTCTATTGGTCAAAGCAAGTCATAAGGCAAATCCAGCTTCAAGGGGAGGTGAAATAAATATTACCTTTTTTTTTTCTTTTTAAAGATTTTACTTATTTATTCATGAGAGACACAGAGAGAAAGAGAGATGCAGAGACATGGGCAGAGGGAGAAGCAGGCTCAATGCAGGGAGCCCAATGTGGGACTTGATCTCAGCATTCTGGGATCATGCCCTGAACTGAAGGCAGATGCCTAGCCTCTGAGCCACACAGGTGTCCCTAGATATAACCTTTTAAGGGAGGAGCATCAGTTGCATATAGAGTTGAGATGAATCATTAGTAACCATCTTTTTTTTTTAATTATTTATTTGACAGAACAAGAGAGTGCATGCACACGTACATGCTTGAGCAGGGGGAAGGAGTAGAAGAGAGAAGGAGAGAGAGACTCCCAAGCCGACTTCCTGCTGAGTACAGAGTCTGACACAGTGCCTGGTCTCACCACCCTGAGATCATGACCCGAGCCAAAATCAAGAGTTGGATGCTTAACTGACTAAGCCACCAGGCATCCCAGTGGCCATCTTTGCAGATAATCTACTACATATGCTTCAGTACAAAACGACAAAAAGAGAAGTAGAGTTTCCGGTGAGATCTGGTACTGTGGAGGAAGGTCTGTCCTACAGGAGATGTAATAATTGAAATCTTTTTTTTTTATTCATGATAGTCACAGAGAGAGAGAGAGAGAGAGAGAGAGAGAGAGAGAGAGAGAGGCAGAGACACAGGCAGAGGGAGAAGCAGGCTCCATGCACCGGGAGCCCGACGTGGGATTCCATCCCGGGTCTCCAGGATCGCGCCCTGGGCCAAAGGCAGGCGCCACACCGCTGTGCCACCCAGGGATCCCCAATAATTGAAATCTATTACCAGACTGTGGGGCTGTGGCAGGGGAAGACAGGCAGAAGTACCCTGATCTCTTTCTTCCTGCTTCCTGATTTCCTGCCAGTAGAAGGCAGCCTGATGGATATAATTCAGAGGTTAACCCCACCTCTCCAGAAAGCAAAGCAATTCAGAAAAGGCCATTGAATGGATTGAAAATAGACTGGGCCATTGAAGAACAAGCTTTTATTATTATTATTATTATTATTATTATTATTATTATTATTATTATTTGTTTCTTAGAATTTAAGTTTCATCAGGGAGGAGAGCATCCATCCTGATCACAGCTGATTCCCTGGAGCTAACAAGTGTCTGGTACTTCCAAGGTACTCAATAAAATGTTTTGAATTGACTTGCATTTAGTTATCTGAGGAGGAGTCATAAATTTGACCTTCCTTCTTTCTGATACTGCAAAAGAGACACCTGAAAGATGCCAGTTGGGGGGGGGGCAGTTAAATGACAAATATGACCAGCTTGATCCTAAGGCCACAGTTTCACTCTGGGGCTAGTCATGGTATAAAATGTGAATTCCATTTCCCTAGAGTCTGACATAGAGTGCTAGTAGAATATGATTTGGTCTCCCTAGTCATTGAGCATTGTGCTTTTCTTCTTTGGGTCTGATGATGGACTTAGGTGCCCTGAATTAAGTGATTTGTTTGTTTTCTATTTAATGTAGTACTACGAGAAGCCAGAAGTTATGCTTTTTTTAAAAATTGACATATAATTCACATACTATGTATCCACTCTTTTCAAGTGTGAATTCAAATTCAGTTATTTTTTTCGGTGATTTTTTTATATATATACAAAGTATGCAATCATCCCACTTATCTAATTTCAGAATATTATCATCATCCCTTACCCCAAACCTGTATTCATTAGCACTCACTTATCTTCCCTTTCTCCTTCCAGCCTCTGGCAACCTCTAATGTACTCTCTGTCTTCATGGATTTGCCTATGGTGGACATTACTATAAATGGAATCATACAATATGCGATCTTTTGTGTCTGACTTCTTATGCTAAGCATAATGTTTTCATCCATTTATAGCATATATCAGTACTTCATTTCTCTCTCTCTCTTTTTCTTAGATTTATTTATTTATTTTAGAAAGAGTATGGGAGAGAGCACAAGAGCATCTGCACACACAGGAGAGGGGCAGAGGGAGAGGAAGAAAATCTCAAGCAGACTCCCTGCTGAGTGTGGAGCCGGCTGTAGGGCTCAGTCTCATGATCCAGAGATCATAGCCTGAGCCAAAATCAAGAATTAGATGCTTAACCAACTGACCCACCAGGTGCCCTCACTTCTCTTTTATGGCTGAATATTATGCCATACTATGGATATACCATATTTTGTCTATCCAGGCATCAATTTTTGCATAGTCTTTCTAAAGTTTTAATTACTTTGAGTAATGTTGCTGTGAACATTGTGGACAAACTTTTGTGTGGACATGTGTTTTTAATTATTTCAAGTGTATACCTAGGAGTGGAATTATGGAGTCATATGGTAATTCTATGTTTAACTTTAGAGGAACTGCCAGAGTGTTATCCAAGGAAGTTGCACCATTTTACATTCCTACCATCAATGTATGAGGATTCAAATTTCTTTACATCCTTGTTAGCACTCGATTATAGCCATTCCAGTTAAGTGTGTAGTGGTATCTCATTATGATTTTGATTTGTGTTTCCCTGATGGCTAATGATGTAAAACATCTTTTTATGTGTTTATATGCCATTTGTATATCTTCTTTGGAGAATTGTGTATTAAAGTCATTTGTCCATATTTTAATTGATTTGTCTTTTTATTGTCAATTTTGAGAGTTCTTTATATATTCTCAATATAAGTCCCTTATCAGATAAGTGATTTGCAAGTACTTTCTCCTATCTATAGGTTATCTTTTCATTTTTTAATAGTGTCCTTTGAAGCACAGGAAATTTTTAATTTGATGAAGCCCAATTTATCAATTTTTTTCTTCAGTAACTTGTGGTTTTGGTATTATATCTAAGTTAATAATGATAACTAGAATAATTGCTGCTTCCTGGCTTACATGAAGAACTTTTGTCTTTTTCCATTTGAGCACTTTTGTTCCAGAGATCATTCAAGGATCTCAAACTTGTATTCTTGATTAACACAACACTGAATACATCAAGGGGAGGTGGCAGAGAGAGGGTGATGGTGTAAGTCCCAGTTCAAGAGTTCAAGTCCAAAGGTCTGAAATCCAGGAGTGCTGATGTCACGGGCAGGATAAAACAGATATCGCAGCTCACAGGGAGAGTAAATTTGCTCTTCCTCCACCTTTTTATTCTATTTGGGTCCACAATGGATTGAATGATCTCACCCACATTGAGGAAGGCCATCTGCTGTACTTATTTCACCAATCAAATGCTAATCTCTCTTAAAAAACACCTTCACAAATACACCCAGAAATAGTGTTTTACCAGCTATCTGAGCATCCCTCAGCCCAGCTTAAATAGCTGGTAAAACACTGGTTGACAGTAAAATTAACTATCACAGGAATTAAATGAGTTTAAAAAGATGCCTATAAAACTGTACATTAAGGGGAATAACTATGAAATGTTGTACAGATAAAAAGAAGGCAAACATCAGTGCTTTGGCAAGAGTTGGACTAGGTTGTCAGAAAACAAGCTTTGCTCTGTGATTAGCTGGGTGACCTTGCCCAATCACTTAAACTCACAAGTCTCAATTTCCTGGTTTGAATGTAGGTAATCTTGCCAAATCTAACGACCTTTCTGTGTTATTATGAGATTGAAATCATGTAGTAGGTATAAAAGTGCTTTGGAGAACTTAACTTGTTATTCTGGGCATAGGGAATAATTCATAGAGACTTGCTTTCATTCTAAAAACTTACTTTGAATTGTTTATCATCACCAAATTATCCCTTTGCTTGGGGCCAGTCCCAAGTAATGTTTACTGTAATGAAACATTAACATGAGATTCCTCACTTCTTAGCTGGGTGAGGGCCAGGTCCTGGTACTTGACTCAAAGAAAGTAGTTATACAGTGTTTAATAACTGCCAGGCCCTCAGGGAACTCTGTGAATGCTTTGGTGCTAGGGTAAAATGTGACAAAAGACTATCAACCACAGTCTTTTATTGATCACTTGGAATGTAAAGGAAGTGTTAAAAAATAAAAATAAAAAAAAGACAACCTTACTGACATTGCAGTCGAGCTGGAAGACCTAAGCCTTTGTACCCTCACCCACTTAGCTCCTATCTGCCAGGCGCTTATGCAGAGGAAGATGGTCTGCCCAGGGGAACCCAATTTGAAGGGAGGGGGACAGTGAAACAAATCGTAGTAATCTAAAACACTGACTTCACTGTAGAGAAAGACACATTTACTAATCATGAAGTATTCAGGGATGATATTGTATATCCTTATGGATTGGTTTAGGCTTAACTGCTTTGGACAGTTAATATTAATCTTTGGAAGATACACGTAGATACAACAGTTATTGACAGGCTAAGATAGAATAAGATCTTTAGCTGTCAGCTATTGTGTCAGACACCAAAGAGGACAAGACACCTGGAGTACCAACAACTCCCTCCACTACTACCCCTGCCCCCAACAAATCTCTGATTGTTATTCTAGACTAAGTAATTCAGACTTAGAGATATTTCACCTCTGGTGAACACATAACCTGGCTGGGGAAAAGAGATGGCCCTGGGACAACAGCAGCCCTTGTGAAGAACGGTGAAATTTTCCAGACAGAGGCTGAGAGGAAAGGGATGCTCCCATTTGAGAATATGAGGATCCAGAGACAAGGTTAGGATCTGGGGGTCTTCCAAAAAGTAATCTCTCTTTATGAAGGGTTTAGCCTTTTAGGTGCTTTTTTCTTTAATCACAAAAAGTCATTTTTAGTATCAATAGTTTATACAATTTCCCTCATACTCTCTAGTTTCCCATTGCTTCTTTTAACCCTTCAGTAAAATTTGACACATAGCTACTTATCAGCTGTGCCTCAATTTTCTTTTTTTTTTTAATTTATTTTTTATTGGTGTTCAATTTGCTAACATATAGAATAACACCCAGTGCTCATCCCATCAAGTGCCCCCCTCAGTACCCGTCACCCAGTCACCCCCACCCCCCGCCCACCTCCCTTTCTACCATCCTTGTTCATTTCCCAGAGTTAGGAGTCTCTCATGTTCTGTCTCCCTTTCTGATATTTCCCACTCATTTTTTCTCCTTTCCCCTTTATTCCCTTTCACTATTTTTATATTCCCCAAATGAATGAGAACATATAATGTTTTTCTTCTCCGATTAACTTATTTCACTCAGCACAATACCCTCCAGTTCCATCCACATCGAAACAAATGGTGGGTATTTGTCATTTCTAATGGCTGAGTAATATTCCATTGTATACATAGACCACATCTTTCTTATCCATTCATCTTTCGATGGACAACAAGGCTCCTTCCACAGTTTGGCTATTGTGGACATTGCTGCTATAAACATCGGGGTACAGGTGTCCCAGCGTTTCACTGCATTTGTA